CATCTTCCTCACGCCACTGACAGAGTTGGCAACACTGAATTCGTGCACCGTCACACAAAACTGCACTGCTTCTTGGACAACTTTAAGCAGAAGAAAACAATAAATAAACATGGAATTATGAACTTCATGTAAACAGAATCTACTCAAGAATTTGGGAAAGTAAAATGAAAGATCCCGCGGTGAAAGTGGACATCTACCTGAAGTTGTTTTCAAATACAGCATGTTGTTGATGACGGATATTGCTTGTTCCACTTGTAAGGAAAATGTCTCCATGTTTCTCAGGTACTGCACCAACATCTCCTGCTTCTTCAGGTCCCCCTCATCTCCCTCCTTCTCTCCCTCTTTTTGTGGGGTTGGTGGCAAATTCTGACTGGCATCTGAAGCATCTTCATCAGAGCCTGGGCAAACAAGAGAGGTAAATCACCCAGTCAGTGGGGACTCCATGTTTTTTTCCTGCAGGTGCAATGGGGGAGCTTGCAGATTTCTGAAGGGTGCTGTGAACTTATTATAGGTCTCCAACACATTCAACATACCCTACAGTTACCAACAATGTGTCTAATAAATACAGTATGTGGCTTTATGGTGATACCAGTCATTACAAACAGTTAAAAAAAAAAAAAAAAAAAAAAAAAAAAAACTAGGTCAACACCCACACTTGGCATGGTAGTAACAGAAGAGACCTTTTTACACCTATGCGTTAGATTCTTCACAACAGGAAAAGGTGGTTGGTTTTTGTGGTAGAAGGGGAAGTTTGTTAAAAAAAAAAATCTGTTTTCATTTAGGGACCTGGAGATTATCAATCAGGTCAGTGGTTTAACAGTCATTGCTGCTATTCAGGTAGTTTACCCCCATGCCCCAAAAAGGCAAAGAAAACTGTTTATAGTTCACCGATTACTTATATCAAAGTCCAATTGAGGTCCACTTTATGTACTTTATGATACTGCATATTTAAGAACTCCTGAGTGTTGTAAATGATACATTTGTGCCCTTATTTGCTTTGCAGCATATTGCTAACCTGGTGTGACTCTAGTTCTTCTTGCTGACTACAGTGATGCAACATGAGCAGAATGGATTTTATAACTTTTTCTGAAACTTCTCTGTTGAGCCTCAAACAGACATGGTGGATATGTTTGCAGAATTGTTTTTTGTGCCTGTATAAATCACCAAGCAGTACAAGCTCTGCCACCCACTTTCTTACAGGATGTGAAATGATGTCAAAGGTTCATCACTTTTACCCATAGTATTTCCTTTGTTATTGATTCACAGCCTTATTCACAATAGACTTCTTTTAGGGTACTATTTTTGCATTTAGATTACATTTAATCACAATCATGTTTTTAATAAAATATTTCACCACATAGAAAAGGAGAAAAAAAAATTAAACTTTTATTTTCTTGGGAGTGCCATGTCTGAGTCAGGGGGAGTTATTGCATCCTCCACCGCTGCTCACGAGCCACCAAGGCACTCATTGCTCTCAATTTATAATCTGCTGCTTGAACTGAGCATTTTCTAAAGCTTCAGCCTAATAATTAAGTAACCTTTTATCTTTTCATAATGTGTGAAAAGCAGTTATACATGCTACATTTAGAACAAAAGAAAAAAAAATGAGAATAAAAGGAGGTAGAAACTTGCAGGACAATTTCACAGAGCTGCTATTATAAAACTCCAGAAAATTACAACCCAGGTCAACTAGTAAATGGTTTGGTGGGCTGTGGTTTTGTTTAAGTGCAGATATGTTCAGATTTCAGTGAAGGGATGTTTGAGAGCAGAGTGAACACTTTTGAGTCTTAGTTGTGTTGTTTTTTTGTAACATTAGATGCAGCCATGTCAATACCATAATGCTTTCCCATCGTAACATATCAGTGCAATAAAATTAGTAGAGAAACTCACTTTCTAGTCAAAGTTCTTATTCTTATGGCAGACAGGTGCATACGTGGAAAATAAATGTCTTTGTAATTGAGCTGTCAGACCATCAACAAACATTTCTGACATTGCATTTGAGTCAACATGAAAAATTTTTACCGTTTAATTAAATTACTTGTTTATAATCTGAGATGACATTAACTGGTGGTGCAGGCAGTGTGAAGTGAAGCATAGCTTAGACGAAGGCATGCGGCAAATTACACTGTCATGTAGGCTAAAAAAACAAAATATGTAGAAAAGAAAAAAAAAATGGCCTGGGAAATGAGAAAGTGCAGCAAAATGTTTATCTGGAATTTGAGAGAACGCTTAATTTTTGGGCCAATAAGTATGCACTGAACTCATTATAGAGTTTAAATACTCGTACTACAAATTGAGTTAAGGTGAGGCTTTCAGACAGAAGAACATTTCACTAAAGCTCAAACATGTTTGATGGCTAAATCATGTTGAGGGACTGTACCTGTGGTGTTGATGCAGTGCACAAAATAATAATTAATAAAGAATGAATTCAAATCATTTCCAGATATTTCATTTGAACCCCAAAATCAACAAGTCTGATCAGAACAGAAATTAAACACATGAAGTAACAAGGTGTTCCAGAGGAACAACGACCCAAACACACAAAACTGGCTAAGGAACTGAAGGCCAACATTAAGCAGGACATTTAACCAAAAATATTAACTGGTGTATGCAAATATTTGAGCTTTTATGTTTTTTTTACCATGTAGATAAAAAAAAAAAAGTTTACAACTCGAATTCATGGACCCAATTTCTGTTAAAAAACAGAAGGTGCTCCTGGTTCAAGAAGGCTGTTTGGCAGATGGACACTTAATACATTCTTTAGCATGAGAGTTTCAATGACAAAATAATGTCTCCTTAAATAGAAAATTCTATGTACAACTTAAAGTATTTTTCTTTTAGTAGCTTATTTTGGTTGCAAAAGTTGACTCAACTTTTCACTCAACAGCAGGCTCAGGCGCTGGCCTTCATTAAGCTTGGCTAAATACAGCAAGGGTTTCCAAAATCAAAAATCTTTGGCCCAAAACATCAGGAAACACCTTCATTTATTAAGAGAAACGTCCGAGTGCGATTTCAGACATTTAGTAATTTCTTCCTTTCTACTTTGTTGAAAGGAAGAAATTAATGTTTAACAATACATTAAACATTCATGTTTAATGTATTGTTGAAACGTAGGTCGCCACTGCCTTAGAAGATGTTAACCAATTTGAATAATAAACTGAACTTGACTACAGTGTTTGATAACCAAGATCGAATTCAAAAGACTTTGAATCTGTCTTACAATATATATAATATTTGTTCTCTTGTGCATTTTGCAAACCATTTTACTACTTTTATTAAAATAAAAAGAGCATTTACCTTTGAAAATCAAGCCCAGCGTGTCCATTAAACTCTCAGGGGTGACAGTGGACAGAGAGGCAAACATCTCTGATTCTGGGAACCAACTGTGAGCTTTTACACAAAGCTTCACAGCATTCCTGCAGAGAGAGGAGCACAGACATTTTACCTGACTAATTCTAGGCTGTGTGACAGACCAGATCCATGAGCAGCATCACTACCCATCAACCTCAACTGGTTATTAGCATCACCTGTATTTGTTGACACGGAGGTACTGAGCTATCTTCACTGCAGTTGCTCTGTCGTCATCTTCTGGTTTTTCGTCCTCCACCTCCCCGCCTTCCTCGTTCTCTTCCTCTGCTTCACTTGTGGGCTCCAGGGTTGTCCTGACAGTAACAAGGAGCTCAGGCTCCATGGCAGCCCACAGCTCAGACGCCTTGATCACTGCGACTGCAGCAAGGAAAAGGAATATATACATACATTTATTATATTTCACTAGCAGCTAGTTGTAAAAGCGCCAAAGAAACATTTGAAACCAATGTATTGAAAGATTAAAACAGTAACAGAACAGATAACTGTGTTTTTCTCAAATTAATTATGTGAACTTATTTCTGAAGTTGAGAAAAATTAAAACATTTCTATTCAGACAGCAGCACCGAGCGACAATTCATTTAGGATTTTATCTTGAAATTTAATTTGGAGGAAAAGGCTATTAGAACTGCTGATGTGTCATGATTCAAGCTAAAAACTATTACCGTCTTAGCTCATTTGCATGAATATTTTCACTAATTACATTTCAAACTATTAAAAAAATGCCAGACATAAATAAGTGTGGGGGAAAAAAAAACTTATAAGATTCAAAGTTAGACCTCTGGGATTTCTTTTAATCAGTACATATTCATGTGGTGGGTTTATGGAAATTTGAATCAGCCCTCAGATTGTTAAAAGTAACAGCTCATGGATCACTGAACGGCAGCAAGACCAAAGTGGGCTTCTTGCATCAGACACTCACACCCACACACACAATGTAAGCTCTATTCCTGAGATTACTCCACTGTGACTCTAAAGGAATAATTTGGATTGAGCCAAGTCTCTGTCGGCAGGCCCTTACAGCAGAGCAGAAACCCTCCTCTGCACTACCAAGATTACCTGCCATTCAAATGCAACAAGAAGCCAACACTCATTCAGTGAGCTCACATTCGCCTTGGTTTCATCACTGGGCAAAAAAAATAAAAAATACATGTATGATGAAAGAAATCTAACAGAAGCAGAGAAATCTGAAGGACTATCACAGAAGCTGTGATTACCAGGTGCTTTTCCCTCCAGCTTCTCTTTCATTTCTCTGAGTTTTGCTGTTTCTGTTTCCAAAGGTTTCTTCAGATCTGCACTGCTCAGCTGAAAGACGAGAACAAAGCTTTGTGTTGTAAAACTTGAAATATTACCGTTTAATATTAATATTACAGTTTAAAATCACACCAGTTTGGATTTACCTTGCAGCTATAGGGATTGTGTGCAATGAAAGCTGCCAACAGCTGGATGGCGCTCTTCACTGCATTTATTGATTTGTCCACCAGGCGCCCAACGGCGAGCCCCATCACCTCACTGTACCTACACAGGGGCAGCGCCTGAACACACACAAAAAACTGTTTTTACCATCAGCTTATATTAGTTTGTCCTAAAGTTTCAGTGTTGTCCTGTAGAAAAATGTCAAACATTTCATATTTAAAACTCTGTCTGTTTCAGATAATCAAAGCAAAGCAAGGGGACAAAAGATTGAGCCTTGTGGAACACCATTAGTTCAATCAAAGTATTCCATAGAAGCAACGTACCTTGCTGTTGACAATTCGTGTGAAAACTTGGAGCACACGTGCTCTGACGTGGGAGTGTGTGTCATGGAGATGTTCCTGCAATATGTCAAAGAACCGGTCGCGGTCGGCTCTGCCAGACTCATCCAGCCCGTCGCCACATAGGACTCGCACAAGAATTTCCCCAAGCACCTCGCAAACAGCAACACGCATTGTGTGGCTCTAGAAAACAAATGCAAATTAAACTGTTTACCATATGAAGTACTTTTCCCCCTCTACAAAGCGGAAAAAGTGAAGATACAAGATGAGTCTGCCCTCAGATTACCAAAGACGACAGTCACAGCTCAACGAACAGCAAAGAGAGCTGGGTGAACTTTTTGCCTTCTGCACACACACATGCACCACACACACAAACACACTGTCGGCATCAGCCAAAGCAATTACTCCGCAGTAACTGTAGAGGAATAATTCTGGCTGAGCCAAGTCTCTGTCGGCAGGCCCTTACAGCAGAGCAGAAATCCTCCTCTGCACTGCCAAGATTACCTGCCATTCAAGGCAACAAGAACCCAACTCTCGCTCAATGAGCTCATATTCGCCTTGGTCTCATCACTGGGCAGAACATGAATGAAACGAAAACAAACAAAAACTCTGCCAAGCTGCGCAAGGGAGGCAGAAGCTGCTGAAACAACAGAAGGTGTTAGAGATTGTCCCATATTTGTACTTGGAGCATAATAAAAACAAGCTATTGGGTGAAAACGTGGGTGCAAATGAGACTCCGTATGAGCTATAATGCAGTTTTTATCTGTATAATTTGTCATTAAGGAACAAGTATGGGCTGGTTATGTGTATCTAGGTACACCATGATGTTTAAAGTCACTGCTCCAAATATTTTCAACATAATTTGAAGTTGTTTTAATGAGATGCCAGAGAAAGTTTCTTAGTAACCATAGTTTTCTCCAGCTGTATAGTTGTATCCAGTAAGAATTAATAATACCCTGCTGCTACACACTGCCAGTCAGCAGTCTGAAAGAAGGCAACAGCACTTATCTGTTGACCACAAGAAAGAAAAATTAGGCTTGGAAATATTTCTTGTCTCAGGTATTGGTATGTAGAAAATAAAGAAGTGCCTCCCACCACCTTCATTAAGATAATGCTGCTAAAGCTACAGTTGGCAAGAGTAGTCATGAAGGTCACTACAGAATACAACCTGACTAATTAGCAGCATGTTAAACTCCAATATATGACATTTTGCTTAAATATTTGTATCAATAAAATAAATACATTTGATAATATGAGTCAAGAGTTATGTTAATTTAGCAGAGCTGGAAATAAATTGTTGAAGTTTGGTTTTAAAGACAAGCAATTAAATCATAAATATGGTTTTTCATCGTGATGCAGTTTCCCCCAGTGTATTTTAAGCCTGGCGGGCCACCAGGCTTTCCTTGTGCCCCCAACAGGCCAAGCATTGCTTATTTATTTAAGTCTTTTTAAAATGTTTGCATTTTTTTAAGATTTTATAGTTGGTGTTCAGGTATTAATCTTCCAATCTTTCAATAACACATAATTATCAAGTGATATTTTAAAATGTCATGTCAACTTTAAACATTTTTTAATTCAAAAACACGATGGGCGGCTGGGTGAATGACTTCCATAGCGCCCAGCCACTGGGCTTAGCAAGTTTTCTGGGGAAAACCTTCATGATGTGAATATTGTAACGACATTTTGTTTTTACACAAGATTATTAAATTACAAGAGTCTCATAAAGACGTCAAAAAATGTATTGTTCAGAACACAAACCTCTCCTTCCAGGTGGGTGATGAGGACACTAATGTTGGGGATCATTAATTCTGGTACCAGGCCACTGAGTTCTGACAGAAAAGAGGCAAAAGCTTTGACACCAGAACCTTCCCTGGCAAGCTCTTCACTTGACTTCTGACCAATTTCCCTGAAGGAAAAAAAAATAGAGTTTTTCAAAAAACAGATCTCAAATAAAACTGAAGTTTAAAAGCATCAGCAAAGGAAAAATGTACTCACCTTATCACTTCTCCAATAATTGCCCTGACTCCATACTCTGTGCTCCACACAGACACGGCTTGTGCAAATACTGAGGACAACTGCTCAAAGTGTTGCAGCATCTGGATGACCTTTACACTGGCACCTGAATGAATTCAGATAGCAACATTTAAAACAGAACAAATTTTAAACAGCAAAGATTGCCATGTTGTATGAACTACATTCACAAAATCCCAGGCAACTGGGAAACAAACCTAGAAGGTGGTTGTATTTGGTGATCAGTAAGCCAAGAAGGTGAATTATACAATCTCTTGTTGGTTTGTTCTTGACATGACTGATGGTTGGATTCTCCAATAACTTGTAGCAGCAACAAGTCACACAGCTGTGAAGAATTTAAGATGAAGTTTTAATTTTGTTCCTCTAAAGGCATGGGATAGGATCTGAGCCTGGCCCAGGGCTAAATTGACATTGATGTTTTACCTGATGAACTCCTCTTCCACCAGGGAGAGACTCCAGAGAGAACGGATGTCCAGCTGAAGGAGCTGGACAAGAGCATGCAGAACCCGCTCTCTCTCAGAATCCCACTGCAGCAGTCCTTCTCCACCACCTTTACCTTTTTTACTACCCTGTTACACACAAAGAAAGCAATGTCTTTCAACTCTAAATGTATTGGACTCTAATGATTCCAAATGGAACATAAGATAAAAAAAAAAAATTAAATAACCATAAAAAAGATATCCTCAGATTACCAAAGATGACTGTTCATATCTGTCAAACCTGCTATAGACACTACAGCCTTTTGTCAGCTGATACATAAACATTCACACAGTGACAAGAAGTTACACAATGTTTGACATCTTCTACATATCCCACAAAATTTCTCATCATGGGCATAAGTTATAGAAGATGGATGTTTGAATATAGGTGAGCCCTTACAGCAGTGTAATAAAACTCAATCACACTACCAAGACTACTCACCAAACAGCTGACTAAGAACCACAGTTTCTAAGTGTGATCAGATCATAAATAATGCCAAGGTCTCATCACTGGATATGGTCACATGAAGAATACTTAAAAACAAAAGTCACCGACTATCATTTAGCCACTGATAACTTTACCTTTCCAGGTGCTGTGACGATACTTTGTCTGTAGGAGACACTTTCAAGGCTCTCTGTGAGTTTACATAGCAGGAAGACACTCATTTTAACAGCATTTAGTTTTTCTTTGCGCTCTGCAGCTGAGAAGGTGGTGGAGGTCAGAGCCGTTGGCAGGGAAACAGCTAGATCACTGACCACTGAAAGAGAAAGAAACCAGTTAATGAAGCAAAGGGCTAAAAGGATGTCCATTAAAAAAATATATTTATACAGATACAACAACCTAACCTTTAACAAGTAATTCCAAGGTATCTTCTTTTACCCCAAGCTCCAACGAATTAAAATGCCTAAAAATTAAAAGACAACAGCTTTGTACTACTATTATTAATGGTAATATTTACAAAAATTACATGGCAAGTACTTACTGCAGCACACTGTAGCCTGTGTCAAAGTGTTCCAGTATACATGAAGGGCCTTGGCTTCGTAGTCCCATCTTGAATTCTGATGCAAACAAGTAAACATTTATTCACATCTGGTTTCAAAAATGAATGTAAAAACCTCAAAACATGAGTGGAAAAAAGGAGTGGAGAACAGAAAAATACTGTTAGGAATCTTCACTTTAAAAGCTGAGGTAAAACATATCTTAAGATTTGTATAAAAGATATTAAATGCATAAAATACACCAATATTTGGTTATAGAGAACAAAAACTTGGGGAAATGGATTACAAGTGACAAATATTCAAACAAGTTTATTTCTAAGTATTTTGTCAAACAGGAATAACAATACGTAGTGTGGTTCTGCTTTTTTACCTTTACTTTTTTAATATAGGTTGTCCATTTGTTTACAATCCGTAAGGAGCAAGAAACGGAAGAAACATCGTATTTCAATCATCACATCCAATGAAAAATACTTACTATTGAGATGGGATGGCAGTTGTTTTGCTGGCACCACATCTTGGACAACGTACTGATTAATACCTCCCGTTTTAACCAGGTCTCCCACACACACTGGCACAAAAAAGTCCCACGTCATCTCTGGGTAACAAAGACAACTCTAAATTCATCAAAACTTCGACCAACTCAGAAACACAAGTAAGCGCTAACGTTACGGTCACTTCCGAATGTATTTAGCTCATTGTCAGCACCGGCAGAGGGGAGTACTAAATGCATGTGGGTACATGAAGTAGAAAATAAAACCAAGTTAAAAGTAGTCTTGTAAGCTGAGAAAAAAACTAAGTTGTTGTGAGTGGTTCAAGCCACTAATGCTACTGAAGCTAACAAGATAATTAGCATAACCGTTAGCCTAAAACTCACTAGTGTTTACTTAAGTTTTAGGCGGACATTGTGTAAGAATGACCATGTTTACAACTTTAACAAGGTAAAAACACAACGTTACCTCTTTCCGTGGCAGCACGTTTAGATACTTAAAATCTCTTAGGGAAAATTGCCTGCTGCCTCCCTTCCCACCGTCCGTAAACGGTTTCTGTCTGGAGCTTTTTCAAATTTACAGCCACTGCGCGCCAAAACAACGAAACGATGACGCACATCGCGTCAGACCTCGTTTTAAATTCTGACCCAATACCACCACCTGGTGGTCAACTACGCACAGTACAGCACATAGTAGACGCTACCAGTAGAGCGAAAAATAAAGACAAGACCACGAAGGAGTGTTTTTTGAGGTAGTAGCTGTATTGAAATGATTGACAGCCCTATCATACCCTCACCCCGGCACCAATATTTCAGCTACAGCAATGACAATACTTTTCAAGAATGTAGTTTAAATTCTATGCAGCAGTCAAATAAAAATTGTTAAATTAAAATGGGTTAATTCACTACCACATATATCTAATGCTGTCACAAAGCAGGTTTTGTCTTATTAATGTATCTAAAAATAGTGTTTCAATTTTAAACAAGAGCAAATTAACAATACATAAAACAAAACCATTCAAGGATGATTTTCATTAATATGTAGAAACTTTTCACTTGTCCATGTGAATATCGTGTGAATACAGTATTGTATATCAAAACTACAACTACTAAACCAGATGGGGCAGCTGTAGTGTTTATTAGTTATGTAGACAAAATTATATATATGAGAAAGTCACAATAAGAGCACCAAAGATAACTGAATAAAAACTTAAAACTGTTATGCATTAAAACAAAACAAAACAAAAAACTTAAATACATTTGTAACCGTCTGGCTCCTTCACACACTGCATCAGACCAAGGCAAGAACGTAAACCAAAGAGTAAAGCACCAAATGTAAAACAAAGATGAAAAACAAAATTGAAGAAAACTTTATCTCTGTTTTTTGTTCCAGAGTGACCAGGTGAATCACTTTCTCTTTCTGTCTTGAGAGCAGCGTGGGCAGTACCTGCAGAGGGGGAATAAAAATTGAGGTGGCTAAGGGGAGCTGTAACAATTTTAAAAACACTCGTGTTGCACACACCAATGACAATCGATTTAGACTTCCTCACCATTTTCCACGTGGTTTGGTTGTTAAGCCCACACATGCAAAATGGAACCACTCAATGGAGCACTGAAAAAAAAAAAAAAAAAAAAAAAAAAAATAAATTATTGTAGCACAAACTAACCGCTTCGACAAAAACCAAGCTTTTCAAAAGACACAATCAAGAACCGAATGTTCAAAGCCCGCAATCAAAGCTGCTATTAAACCGTTTTCTTTTCTGCAGTCCTAAAATGATGATGAGGCATGGGCCTGAAAGAGTTTCAGGCTTATCATTTTGAGATTTGGATCTAGGAATAATATGCACCGCTGTTTAATTGCCATGTTTTCATGATGTAAACGAGACAAACAATTTTAAGATCATTTCAGGACGTTTTCCACCCTAAAAGTGACCTAAAATGTAAAAAGTAAACATCGAAATCGAAAATAACATGGATGCAGAAATGTACAAACAATGTTCTGTTTTTTCAAAACTAACCACCACATTGAAAATTATGTTAAATAGGAGCAATATTTCAAATTAACTCTAATTAACCACAAATAAAACACAGCTCTTCTACAAGTGTTTTGCTTTGGCATTTCCTTAGTCACATCTCGCAGCAACAGCCGTGGTGTGCAAAAAGATACACGAGAATGAGACGGACCGCATTATTGAAAAGTATCCCTCAGCTTAGAGGTACAAAGTGGTGCAGCAAAGACGGCAACATTCCTCACAAGACTGGGCTACAGAGTATGGAGTTAGGAAAACTGGAAAACCAAGCCTGGCTAGATTCAGGGAAAACTCCATGGCTGTGGGAACATATTTTACACAGAGGGGGTTTGTGCTGCTGTAAAAGGCAAGAGCAAATTTAGGATAGATTGTATTTGTGCCCCCTGTGAACATGTATATAAGATTTGTACACAAAAGTGAAACGTGAATTCCTAATCTCAACTCACAAAGTGCTATGATTTTAAAAGTACAGTTAGTTTTATTGTGAATGAAGAACTGCTAGAATAAAACACTTCCATTTTTTTTTTATCTGTTTTTTTTTCAGTCACTTCATTTAATCATTGCGTGACTTAAAAACAGCCCAAGTAAATAACAGCTTTGTTTAGTTAGAAAGTTCACTTTGGGACAGTTTACATACAAATGGTGGAGGAGTTTTATTGCAACTGAATCAGCTTCAGGGTTCGTGGAAGTAATTCTGTTTCACTGAAATCTTAATTTGCCTCCATGAACAAATCTCTGTTAAAATCTTTAGGCCAATCGTAATTCAGCTGGGAAAGGAGGTCTTTGACAGTATGGGAGTATTTTTTTTTTTTGCAAAGTATGCAAATAATACCAAGTTAAGATGTTTCATCCGGGTAGACGAAAACCCAACAAGAGATTACTGGGATAAAGTTAAAAGGTGACTCAACAACGCATTAGCTTAAGGGTGTGCACACTTAACCACATTATTTTAGTCATTTATTATCCATTTTCCCTCCACAAGATTTTAGCTATTTTTTCAGTTTGGGTCACATTAATTTAGGAAAAAAAGTTCTGAATTTATGAGTATCAGGAAACTATGGTACATGAGATGGTGTTTACAAGTGCTGTAAACACCATGCATACAGGAAGTTGTACATGCTTGCAAAAAGAACATAAAATGAATGGCAAGGCACAAAAAGTTGGACTCTGAAAAGGTTTTTGAAATATAAAAAGTAATATCAGACTCAAAGTTAAAAGGCAGTACATGGTTTTTGATCATTTCTTGAGCTGCATGTCTAAGCCAATTGCATTTTGCTGATTTTCTTATTAACTGTTCTTGATCACCAACTAAGAGAAATACAAATGCAGAAAACTACCGTCTTTTGAGTTCTCCCAGTAATTCATAAATTTGCACACAAAAATGCAACACGTGTGTGCTAGCATGAACAAATAATGCTTACTTTGCACACAAGCACATGTGAATTAAGGTTGTAAGTTAAGCTATTGTTTTGTTTGCCATTAATAAAAAAGAAAAAAAGAGAGAGGGAAAAAAAAAAACTCACGTCGGTGTTGTCACAGCCAATCATCTCGCCATAAGACACCTGATGACACAAACAGTAGGTGGGCTCGTTGGGGTCCACAGGCATGTCCAGCACATCCGACGGGTGCACGTTGCCAAAGTTGGAGGCAGGGGCTGTGAATTCCCCTCTGATCAGATGAATGAGAAAAAAAAATATATACAACATCAGTGTTCTTTTACCGTTAAAACCCAAACCCCATACACAGGATCATGACAAGACATAAAAACATACTGCTGAAAAAGTTTGACTTTCTTCTGTGCGCTCTTGGGACTTCCATCTTCGTCCGAGCTCTTCACCTTTGATCTTGTTTTGGCGGCCTTCTTCTCCTTCTGTCTGGAGTCTACTGGAATTACACAAACACTCCAGCGTTACACAAAGCACAGATTTGTAAAAACTGGACAACAACACAAAACAAAGCACAGACAGAGAAAATAGAAAGCAAACAGACCTTTCTTTCCCTTACTGGAGGTGGAGTCGTAGTCTGTGCTCTCAATCTGTTTCTCCTTCAGGTCAGCTTCAAACCGAGCCAGGTCTGTGTCGAGGCGTCGGATGTGTTTGTCGACCTGTAGAAAAAAAATGAAATAAACAACTAATCAGTCCACTGTTATGTGGTGCATAATTTTGAAATGTTTCAAGTTTAGAACATATGTATGCAGAATACTAAAGTTATGTCAGATGGACCAACCATTTCATAGGTCTGCATAGCCAGCTGCACCTTGTCATCTCCAAACTCCTTGCATTTACTGTAGGACTGCTGAATCTGCCTCAGTAGGGACAGTTTTTGATCAGAGGAGAGAGTCCGGGCGTTGGAGGTGTATTCTTTGGCCAGAGAGTCAATCTGTCCTTTTAGGTCTACATGAAATAAACATAAGTTTTTCATTAGTATTTTTATTTAACTTTTAGAAATGCTCCTAAAAAAAAAGTAAAAGCCATTTGCTGAGCAGAAAACTTTTTCTTGTCTTGTCTCCCATCTTCATGATGTCGTTTGCTCACTAATATTCTCTAGCAAACCGCAGGGCCCTCTAAAGAACAGCGGGATTTATACTGAGATTAAACTGCACACAGGTGGACTCAAATTACAAATGAAGCAGGTTCTGCAATTGGTTGTGTTGGGTTTTATTTAGGGGTGCCAGAATAAAGGAGGTTAAGTCGAACCAGATCTCTTTTGAGGCGTAGTATGTTTCTCTACCTGTAGCAAACACAAATCTTCAGCACATTCATTTTTGGTGTACAATTTCAATTGAGATTTTAAAATAAATTTGGAACAGATCCAAGACACTTTGCTGAAAACAAATTGTATCAATTTGCTTCAATTTCACAAGCATGTTGCACTTTGTATGTCACACAAAATCCCAACAAAACATAAAATATGAAAAGTTCAAGGACTACAAAAACCTTTGTATAGCACCGTAACTTCAAGTCACAAAATAAAAAAAATTAGAATCAGTTGGTTTTCAGCATAATAATAATAATAATAATAATAATAATAATAATAATAATAAAGTTAAGATAAGTTTAGTAGGAGCCATCATTTATATGACTGGTCGGATCTGAAATAAAATTCAGGAACATATATAGATCAATAATGCTTAAAGAATGGATACCTCATGTGACACAATTTTATTTATTCCCACCTTCTGTGCGTTGATCGAGATCTCTCATCAAATTAAAGTTCCTCTGCAGCTCGAAGGGAAGATTTTCAATGCCTGGATAGATAAAGATGGTGGGGAAAGATAAAAAAAAAACATATCAGTTTAATTGCACAGTCGCCACAATCAAACAAACCGAAAAAAAAACAATGCGAGTGCGGTAGCTAGCTCAATGTTGTGCGTGAAATGCAATTTATGTTGTCTTCTGAATTTATTCAATAAATACGGATTCATACGGATGCTTTTGCGGGTTCAAAGAATCAAAGTACATCGACAGTAAGTACTGAAACATTGTATGTACTGTGAGATATCCAGCAGCATCTTAGCTTCGCTACAAACAGCTTTTCCAGGAAATAGACAGAGCCTAAAAAGACTGACCGTTAGAAAGTGGTTAACGCGTTTTCCTCCATCTAATAAACAGACATGAACTGCGGTGCATAATTAAATGCAAGCAATTAATTGACTAAATTAATTAAACATGTGCAAGCAGCTTCAAGGCGTCATTTATAGCTTACTGTCCAAATAATGCTCCAAATACATCCCCGCCGCCATCTTGGAAAAGGTAAACAAGGCAGTTTCCGTTTCGAAATGGACCAATCTGATTTCCCAGACTTTTTAAGGAAAAAAACTTCACATGCGTATGATTATGTCTACTGTGTTCACCATCACCCTTAAGAAATTAAACAGAATTGAGAATAGCATTTTTAATATGCGTGGAGCCCAAATTACAGTACATATTTTTAAAATTAATTACCAATTGAAAATAGCGTTTTAATACAGATTCCTTGGTACAAATGATTTCTGATTAAATTCTAGTAAAGACATGAGCTGAAGTAAAGCTTACATTAATATGTCTAAAATTAATGGTATTCTATTCTATTAAGTTCTTCATTATAATTACTTAAATTCTAAATAAAGTTTTTGATTTTTTTTCCTGTACTCTTGGGTCAAAACAGCAGCCCCGTGTACTTAAACCATGAGCAAAAATGTTGAATGTATTATACTTTACTTCAACTGTTAGTCTAATATGAGAAAGGAACTGAAGTTTGTGATATCCAAAATAAATATATAAATATTTACTTTATTCAGTGAACGATTGAGTCACAGGAATCTTTAAAACTAAATTTGTCCATAACAAGAACGTCTTTTTAAGTTATAGACAGGCTAAAAAAAAAACCTTTTCAACTTTATTTTAAATATTCCAAAATGAACCTACATATATTATCTTAGGTAATGTTTTATTACTCCTCAAGAAATTTATTTTCTTGAATATTAAAGTGATTAAAACCAGATAATAAGAATTTGAAATCTTAAAATATTTATTTCATGTTCACCTGAAGCAAACCTACATTATAGATCAGATAAAACAGAAAACAAACAGTGAAATCAAATTTATCAGTATAGCCATATTTAACACGTTACTCTGAAACAGATAACACTGACCCAAAGAATATTTAAATGTAGAGAAAGGGAGTCGGCTATTTAATAGGACTCTACAAAGTTTCTTTGTAATCTGAAATGTTTCACTGCTCACATGTTAAACATTATTTGTTTTTTTGAAACTTGTGCTTCATCTTTTTGAATTTATTTTTTCCCATCCTGTTCTTCATCTTCAAAGGTGATTTCCCCTTTTTGGCTTGCTTTTTCTCAAATCTACTTCCATCTTTTTTGACAGTTTTTGATGCGGTTGTCTGGACAGGAGTCTTCTTTGCAGGGTTCTTTGCCTGGGCTCCCTTCACAGTCTCCCCATCCATTTTGGCAATCTTTGCCTTCTTTGGTCCAGTCTGCGAGCCCTGTTGTCCTTTTGTCTTGATGTTTGCTGGTTTCTTAGCTGCTGCTCCATTAGTTTTGGCATTTTGCTTTAGGGCATCTGTCTTTGCTGGCGCAGTTTCATTAGCTGCTTTGCTTTTGGACGGTTTCTCTTTCGGAGAATCTGTAGCTTCTGTTGCCTCAGAAGCTTCTGTTGTCTCATCTCCTGTAATTACCAACACAAAATTTACACAATCATAACATTAAACAGAGAAAACATTTCAATCTAGACTCAGATTTGAGAGAGTTACCTTTCCCAACTGAAGCTGATGGGATTACATTAGAGAACTTCTTAAATTTGGCCACAAAAAATCCATCCATGTTGTGGGAATGTGGGTAAAAACGGCGGGTGAGTTGCAGGGAGGGATGGAATCTAAATTTCTTGAAACTGCGGAGGACATAAAATGTTTTTCTATTTAATGATCACAGTGTTTATCAGTCAGTAAATGGGTATACTCTGCAGAAACAGATTGGTTAACTTTCATTACCTGGTGAAGCCTTCCTTCCCAAAATCAAGTCCGGTTGGGACGAGTTTAACATTCCTTTTCTTCAAAGCGTAGTCCACCACCCACTCATTCTCCTCCACCTGGTTGGACACAGATGTGGTTACTATCAAAACTTAAATCAAGACAAACATCCACACAAATGAAATGAGCATAATAGTGGGACACTTTTATTATTATTAAATTAATTATTTACTTTAAACAAGCTTCTATATCTTTCTGAAAAGTTACTTGTAATTAAGTACTCTTGAAATAAGCCAAAACTAATTTATTTGCACTAGAAACTAGACTAAAACTACTTAATAAGATTTTGTGGTTTTGCTCCATAACTTGTTGATTTCATATAATTGTTCAGATTATGTTAAGGTGAATAAATTGCAATGTTTTTAATAATAATAACAATTCAGACATCAGCTTCACTGCAGTCCTGACTGAACCTCATTTCGTGGTAACACATACCATTATTGAGCATGTGCAGTAGACCAGATATCCTCCAGAAGAAGACGTTGCATTCACAGAGTCGATAGCTGATAGAAGCAGTTCTTTTTGCAAATGAGCAGAGCGCAGAATATCCGGCTCATCCTAATCGTAAAACAAGATTAGAGGGAAGACGTTTTAATGCGCAATTCAATTTTAACTAAGAGGGTATCTGTAGATCAATGGGCAGAGACAAGCTGTGATGTCTCACCTTACTGGTCTTTACAGCTGGATCTTTTGCGATAACTCCTGTGCCTGAGCATGGTGCATCGAGCAGCACTCTGTCAAACCCTCCCATTACCTGCGGCAAAAACCTCCATAGTTCAGTAAACTATAAACGATACAGTCGTGGCATTTATTTAAACCAAGCACGTTTTGCAAATGAACATCTGAAATGAGGTTACCTTTGGGAACTGCCTGCCATCGTAATTGCTGACCACGGAGTTAGTGACCCCGAGGCGGTGAAGGTTTCCCACCACGCTCTTCAGTCTTTCAGCGTTAGCATCA